TCTGACAAAATAGTAATAGAAATTTGATTGACAACTTTCGCGAAAAAATATCCTAGACAAGTATATGAAAATGACTTAGATTAGACTATTTTTTTTTTTTTAAACTAGACTTTTTTAAAATATGATTTTTGTGAATTTGCTAATATGAGTATATAAATTATTTACTCATCATATAATATTAACAATTTTTGTCAAACGTTTATTTAGCATATATTTATTTTAGTCGAATCTTTCGGAGATACACTGTATTAATAACCATATAGGTATCGGTGAAAGACATAAGCGCCAAAATAAGATAAGAAAAAAAAAGTCGTATCGTACATAAGCGACAAAATCCTAAGTACCTGTGTGTCACGGTGGATATATATAAATAATAACAGATATAAAATTTATAACAAACCGATTTAATAAATTTATATTTATTTGCATGTATTTATTATAATAAATTTAGCAATTTATTATTGAACATTTTTTTTTAATATAATATAACTTTTTATAAGATAACAATTTTTAAAGAACTACTTATATGAAATATTAATTTTTTCCCGAACGATATGTTATTTTTGTCATAGGTATATAGGCTAAATCATGGGCCCGAATTGCTGATTATCTAGTGATTAACCTCCAGGGCCTCTTGACACCCAGTCCACCACTGCCCACACGTTTGTATATATTAACAGCAGTATAATATAATAGTATTTTTGATAATAAAGCAAACATAATATTATAATAATATATTAATATATTATGAACTATATTAATGGAAAACATTTATTAGAATACTAAATACGTGTWTATTGTATAGTTGACGTGTATAGGTAGCAGTTATAACAGGGGTCGGCAATTTRTGGCCCTCGYTTGTAATTTTATRTGAGCCACGAATAAAATTTATAATTTGTGTAAAAAAAAAACTGAATATTATGGACTAGAAATAGCGGATTAAAATTTTGTTTACTAATTATTCGTAGTAATTGCAAATACCTCGTTAAATTAATAAACCTAACAGTTATGTGGGCTTAAATAAACTAAATTTGGTATGACTATAAATCTTCGTATAAAATAAAATTAGGTTTATTCAAATGTTGCATTTATTTTTTGGCCCTTGACATCTAATAGGTTTCGAACCCTGGCTTGTAATTATCTTGATTCAAAT